TCATCATAAGAAATGCCATGATGGAACATTTTTTTTTTCAGGGATTAGTCCACCCGGGCACAGGGCACTGACCCACATCGGGGCCTGAGGGGGCGAAAATGTAATAATAATAATAATAATAATTAATAATAATAATAATAATAATTAATAATAATAATAATAATTAATAATAATAATAATAATAATAATAATAATAATAATAATAATAATAATAATAATAATAATAATAATAATAATAATAATAATAATAATAATAATAATAATAATAATAATAATAATAATAATAATAATAATAATAATAATAATAATAATAATAATAATAATAATAATAATAATAATAATAATAATAATAATAATAATAATAATAATAATAATAATAATAATAATAATAATAATAATAATAATAATAATAATAATAATAATAATAATAATAATAATAATAATAATAATAATAATAATAATAATAATAATAATAATAATTAGTTCATAGTAAATAGAATTTATAATACAAAATACAAAAATAAAAATAAAATAATAACAATAATAATAATAACTACAACACTAATAATAATAATAATAATAATAATAATAATAATAATAATAATAATAATAATAATAATAATAATAATAATAATATTAAAGAACCATAAAGAAATAAAAAAAATATAAAGAATCAATAGTGAGAAACGATATATGTATGTTGTGTTGTCAAAGTAAGAGAAACAATTGAGACCCTGCAATTGTGTGTAAATGAGGCAGAAAGACAGATCAGCAACCTGGGACTTGGTCACAATATTCGTGATGCCATATGGCAGCAGGGTCTACCATTAGACAACACATTATGCTTCCAATATCTTCCCAGGCGGTAGTACCTCCCTGTTTGATAGCTGCCTACTACCTACTATATATGAAACAACCTTGTATGGGATTGCCAACATGGTTTTTATGCCAAGACGCTCCTGCTTAACGCAATTACCCAAGGTATTGTATGCTTGGACCCGAATTTTGGAACAGGGTGGCAATATCGACAATATATACCTAGATTTCGCCAAGGCTTTCGACAGCGTACCCCATGAAAGGCTGAGAATTAATCTAGAAGGGTTCGGGATTTGGGGAAGTGTCCTAGCATGGATCGGAGACTTTCTGCATGATCGCAAGCAGCGTGTGGTGATTAATGACACGAAATCGTCATGTGTACCCTTGACAAGCGGGGTACCACAGGGCAGTGTATTGGGCCCGCTGTTGTTTTTTGTTTCACAAATGACATGCCAGAAGCTATGCACTCCTCCATACAAATGTGTGCAGACAATGCCCGGTTATTTTGGGAAATTATAAACCAAACAGACTGCGTACAGCTACAGAAAGCTCTGTGAGCTTCAAAAGTGGTCGAAGAAATGGCTGCTGCCAATATTCAATGTCGCGAAATGTAAGTGGCTGCACCTGGGTCATACCAACGGTAAGGAGGTGTATCATATGTCCCTACGGGACAAAAAAACTGCATTAATAGATTGAATGTGAAAAGGACCTAGGTGTGTATGTTGACAATGAACTGAAGTTCTCGAGCCATTGTGAAAAGAAGGTGAATCAGGCAACTAAACTATTAGGTCTTATAAGAAGGTCGTTCAGATATTTAGACGGTCCGACCCTCGTAACGATCTTCAAGAGCGAACTGCTTCCCCGCCTGGAGTATTGTCACCCCGTCTGGTCCCCGAGATATGCTAGGGACTGTCAGTTGGCTCAAAATGTTCAAAGGAGGGCCACCAGACTGGTGCCTGCACTTCGGCACCTCAGCTACCTTGAGAGATTGGAGCGCCTGAACTTGCCTAGCTTATACTTCAGACAGGTAAGGGGTGATCTAATTAAGGTGTATGCATCTCAAGGGGCACTACTCAGTCGAGTGTCCTTACTTGGAGCTGGCGGACGCCCGGCCCACAAGGGGTCACAGCTCAAGATTGAAGAAGCCGTAAGTCCAGAAAACTGTGAGGACAAATTTTTTCGGAGTGAGAGTTGTGAACTCTTGGAACAATCTAAAAGAAAGTGTTGTGACGGCACCGAGTGTGAGCTCTTTCAAGACAAGACTTGACCAACACTGAAGCAGGTTCAGGTACATTCAGGAGCCGGTGCATGCCCAGTACTTGCCAACAGTGCGTAACAGAGACGTGGCCGATCGCCCCAGCAGCTAACGAGCCGATCATTTGGTGAAGAGGATAAAAGCAAAGGAAAAGTAACAGAGACGTGACCGATCGCCCAAGCGGCTAACGAGCCGATCAGTGGTGAAGAGGATAAAAGTAAAGTAAAACAATCTGCCGACCTAGCTTATTTAGTGTCTGGGTAGAGTGTAGAGCAGGTCTCCATTTTTTTCATTAATTCTACATTACTTTTTTTTCACTAACTGGAAATATAAGACGCTATTTAAAATGATTCACTTAAGCTCTGCCATAGTTAAAAGCAGTCTCTTACCCGACTGAAGGAAGAAAAATAGTTTGATCTTTAATGAAGAAACATTCTGGTTCTTTTACTTTTACTTTTTACTTTTATCCTCTTCACCGATGATCGAACCCGTTAGCCGCTTGGGTGGTCGGTCACGTCTCTGTTACGCACTGTTGGCAAGTATGGGGCATGCACTGACTCTTGAATATATCCGTATCAGCTGCTCCAATGCTGGTCAAGTCTGGTCTTGAAACAGCTAACACTCGGTGCCGTCACAACATACTCTGGTAAATTGTTCCAAGAGTTCACAATTCTCACTCCTAAAAAGTTTGCCCTCACAGTTTTCTGGACTTGTGGCTTCTTCAACCTTGAGGTGTGGCCCCTTGTGGGGCAGGCGTCCGCCAGCTCCAAGTATGGACACTCGACTGAGTAGTGCCCTCCGAGATGTTTATAAACTTCAATTAAGTCGTCCCTCCGCCCGTCTATAGTATAAGACAGGCAGTTGCAGGCGTTCTATTCTCTATGGGTAATTGAGGTGCCGTACTGCAGGCACCAGTCTGGTGACCCTCTTTTGGATATTTTCAATCAACTGACAGTCTCTAGCATATCTCGGGGACCAGATGGGGTGCCAGTACCCCAACGGGGATGCATTTTACTCTTTAAGAGGGAAGTGGTTATCTGATGTCAAAAACATTTTGAAATCTAACAAATCTTCGAAAAGAAAACCTCAAAAAGAGTGACACAGAAAGACAGAGGGAACCACGTCAGCATCTGTGGGAACGTTTCAATCTGTTGTCACCAACCAGCTTACACAACTTGTTCCAGAGGTCTTTGGGTACACAATAACCAAACATTATCTTTCACTCTGTCAAACCTCTTCCTTGTATAATGAAGGGGGGGGGGGCGATTAAATACATATCCCCCTTCCTTTGCTATCAGTCAGTCAGTCAATCCTTCACCCAATCTGCTGTAATGGATGAGCTCTGGCATGCAGATCCCCTTCCACAAAGGCCCAGAAATCAATGTGGTTTCGCTATATCATTTTAAACAACCCAGTAACAGTCCTCAACTATACGACCTACCATATCCCATAATATTAGTGATTCATACCCAGAGAAAAGAGAGAGGCCAAGAAAAACCTAACGATTATGAGAACACATTAAACAGCTGAGTTAACAAAATAATAATACCTGTAATAATAATATTGACAAAAACTGTGGTCAGGACACGTTTCATGTAGATGTAAAGTAGAGAGAGAAAGGGGGATATGGCAACACCATCAACAACTGGAGTACAGTATAGTATTTTCTCTTCCCACGATAAGGTAAAATACACACTGGGTCAATCACCAACGGACACGGGGCTTTTAACGTTATCACATGAGTTTTCAGTTAACGAAAAAAATCAGACCAGACATTTAATAATAATAATAATAATAATAATAATAATAATAAAGCAAAATCGTAATACAGGTTTTTATATGGTATGGCATGTCTTTAAACAATGCAGGTATACAGTCAGCATGTGTATATACAACGCAGGTATAAAGTGCTGGTATACAATTTTCAATGAATTGTATCTAGACAGTGCAGGTATACAGTACAACGATATTATAGTAAACAGTATATGGCAATTTGACCAAAGATAGCTGACGAAGCCACCAGCGGCTAATGAGCCGCCGATCAGTGGCGAAGAGGATAAAGTGAAGTAAAAGTTATAGCTATAAGAAGAAAATGGTTTCCGCCTGGCTCTCGTACTCGCAATTTTACTTGGCAATACTTGGTGAAGCATTGCTGTGTGTACTGGGGATTGTGATTGGTGGATCTAATTTCGACTGTATCACTGTCAGGATAAATATTAAACGATCCAAAGGTAGAATTTCTATACTAATAAACTATTCGTCGTTATTTAACGTCATGACAAGTTTCCAAATGTTCGTATATTTGCTTAAATAAAGAAGAAATTATATTAATGAATTGACACCTCTCTAAGTCGTTGGATGAACAACTCTTGCGTGAAGTGAACCATAGGCCTAAATTGTCTGAATTGCATTTACACATAGTTCGAAATTTTGATGTACGTTGACAAAGTTGTCGATTTGTGAGCACATGCAAGAGGTCAGTTGTAGGTTTAAGATGGTAAGTCACTGTCACTAGCACTCGTGGGGTCACCTAGCGTTCCTGTGAGGAACTGACACTCTTTTGAGAGAACTGAAGAATATATCCCGGGAATAATACTTCGACCAGTTGTGCGTACGACCACCCACCGCAGGAATAATTGTAGAATATATCCCATGTTACAAATAAGTTTTTGGGTGAATAATCTACTCAAAAAAGTGAAATAAATATACACTGGGAATAAAACCTCAACCAGCTGTGGATACCCAATACAGAGCTCACGACCATAACCCGGAGATAATTCCTCAACCAGCTGTGGATTCGTCTTCATTTTCCCAAGAATCCTCAACCAGCTGTGGATTCGTCTTCATTTTCCCAAGAAGAGGCATTGTGATAACGTCAACACATATCTTATATAACTTCTTATATGGATGGCACACAAAACATGTTTGAGAGCCTTACAAGACGGACGTCATTTGAGTCCATTATTAGGTAGTGACAGCAGCGTCTCCCCTAGTGTTCGTCCATCGTGTGCTACTTAATGATATTGTTTTTTTTTCAGGACATTATTATGGCATACATTTTGGCTTTTACGGTAAGGAGGAAGCTTATATAACAACTGTGTGAATGAGTTATTAAAACGAAAGAGATGTACAGTCTCGTTCAAGATTCTTTGAACACTGCTGGAGACAGCTGGCAACTCAAGGCCGTTTGTTTACTATAGTATGTAGAATAATATAATACGAAACAAAAAAGCCCAACCAGTAAATAAAGCAACGGGGAACTAAGTAACCAATCACTGATCACTTTTACATTTTATTCTTAATTTTTGCGACGTACTATAGAAAACAAACGGCCATGAATTGCCAGCTGTCTCCAGCAGTGTTCAAAGAATCTTGAACGAGACTGTACCACAGGCATTTTAATGGTGAATTTTTCTTGGAAATTTCAATGTTGGGGCTATAAAACGACATATTTGTCACATGAACTGATGTGCAAGTATAATGATATAATTTGGTGCAGGTGTTTGTAGAAGGGGAAATATTAGCTGATTAACACACACATACACATTTCATTAGCTTAATAAACAAAGAATTTAAACATCATGTTTCTTTTCCATACATGATGTTCACCTCAGGGCCCTTCCTTCCCATGGGGCTATAGTCTGTTCACTCGAACCTTGCAACTGAGGCCGAGGGTCAGTTTGTAGGAAGGAAGGGGTGGTTGGCAGAAGGGCACCCCAAGAATCACTACATTTCTTCAATATTTAATCTATCGTACTTATACTCTTATATCTTAAGGGACAATAACTTGTCTGCGTTGATCTTTGATAATTTCCGGATTTGAGAAGTAAAAATTAACATGTGAAACGCTCTTAACTTATTTTCAAATCTGGTGAATTAATTTGCAATAAATAAAGATTTAATTATAAATACTTATTTTATTAAGATAGCACTGAGCTCTGTCAATGTGAAATATAAACTTAATATGAGTGACATACATGTCACATAGTGACGTCATTGTTTGGCGGGCTGTTTGCTCCAGTTGGAAAGCTGAACTACACAGACCCATGTAAGAGACAGACCGACAGACAGCAATACGCAATTGAAATGTGAAGCACAACA